ACGGTTGGTCGGACATGTTCTTGTTTGATTGTTGGACGGTCAATCGAGTAGCCCTAATCCGGACCATGGGGTGTGCATCGTTGATGTTCCGGATGAATCTGGGCGAGTTTTAGGCGAGAGTGTTAGCCTTAGCAGGACGGGTTAGGGGATTCGAGTGTTATCTCGAARGATRYTGRCCGCGTTCGGGTCAGGTGGTGGAGACCGTAGTGAGACGGTGTTGCGTGATTTGTGTTAGTGGGGGAGAATTGTAACGCTCGTGAACCAAAAAGGGGATTTTTTTTGGGCATGTGTATCGATCGACACGAACTAAAATCAGACCGACGGTTTTGGTTTCTAATTTGCCGGTTCAGGGAGCGGTTTAGGGGTCACCCTAGGGTTTGTATAAAAGGGCTGGAACAGACACGTGTTGGTCTCATTTTGGCCGAAAATCAGAGAAAGAGGAGGATTTGAGAGAGAATCAAGGGAGGTTGTGAGTTGTGTGTGATTGAGGGTGAAGGACAGCTTCTGTTCGAATGTTTGGGAGGGCAAACAGCTAGGCAATTCGAGGAGGATTGGGGTGAAACATTGAGGGTAAGCTCTCCAATCTCTGGTCTCGATATGGGCGAAATCCGTTTGTCATTTCGTTGAATATTCGTTGAGTTATGGTTGTTTGAACTCGGTAGGGTTGTGCAGACTTGTTGCTGCGATCAGTCGGCTTCGGGAAGGCTTTCCGATCGAACCAGAAYGAMTTAGGARACSMTYAGCCTATYTRTAGAAAGYWCTCTCTGTYTAGTTTCTAAATYARRTTTCTSATCCTRATTCTGAGGTATTATCCGTTCTCGGTGTGCTTTCAAAGTCAGTGTGTCGTTCTTGTCTTCTGAAATCCTAATTCGGTTTAGGTGAATTTTGGAGGAGACGAACGGCTAGGCAAATCAGATCGGATCGGGGTGAAACTTTGTGGGTAAGTTCTSSAATCCTTTTTCTTGATRTGGGTGAAAACCGTTCGTCAAKGGGTTGAGTATTTAKGGAGTTATGATCGTTTTAACTGGGTAGGTTTCTACAGTTTTCTGCTGCGATCAGTCCACTTAGAGAAAAGATTTCCGTCGAACCAGAAAGAGTTTCGACACGATCCACATACCGACGTGTAGCTTGTTCTGTCTAGTTTTCAGAACCGTTTTCCGATTCGGATTTGGATAATCCGTTCGTCGTGTGCGGGGCGTTCTTTTAGGCGTCGTGTTCTTCATCTTTTCAATCCTTTCG